CCCAAAACTGAACTGTTCCCTGGTAAGCAGGCTCTAAGAGTTTTACTATCATGAAAATGCTGAATTTGGACCACATGACACCTTATTTAAGGGTGAATATGTATAGACTTTGAAAGTGAGGTTACATGAATAATATGGGGTATGTATGAATACAAATTTAAGGAAAAGTTTCACATCTCATTACCTCACCAAGCCTTCTTTCCTTTCCTCCTGCAAATGACTTTTACCCTTCTCAAACCCCATGGTTCATTTAGCACTTAATTGATCTTCATTTGTTTTAGTCTGTCCTGATTGTTTTTCTCCAACCTGGACAAGTCCATGGATTCTGTTATTTACTTGTTTTAATTTCTTATATATCACACTACTTGGCATAGTGGTAATCATTTTTTTAAGAGAGTAAGTGTGGTGTGAAGGGATGGTTTTCATGAGAATGGTGAAGTCTTTCTGACAAGAAAGACAACAGTATGTGTCTATCATACTAGAGGGCAATTAAAAGACTAGTCTAGCAGTTGTGTTAGTGGATTTTGTAAATAGTGAGGCATTTATATCTTATAGTGATTCTAGTTGAATTCAATGAGAAGATGGGCCAGTTCTTGTTTCCTAATACCTGCTGATCAACAAGTTGTGATATGAGATTCATCAGAAATTTTTTGTTTTCATAAGTGAGAAAATTCTTACACTATTTTAATGCAAATATGTCAAAGAACACTGATCAAACTACAGTGTTATACTCAGAACAGATTTGAAGTTCTTTAAAATACTTATGTTTGTAACATTTTCTAGCATGGGTCTGTTTTATAGATATTTTGGTATTTTTGGATAGCAAATGGAATCAGTAATGTTTCTGAATAATTAACCAACAAGTTTCATTTGTAGCAGGAAGCCAACGAAGGCGGCATTAACATTCAGGATACACAGACCACAAAGCACAGAGATCATTAATTAATGGGCAAACGAAAATGGAAGCATCGTGTTGAACATTGCATGCGCCCTATAAAGTGACTTCTGTATCATATATTATTAAATTGACACATAGCTACGGAGCTTCTGCTCAATTTTCTGGGTTTCATCAGTATTTGATGAACCTTTAAGAAAAACACACCCATATTCTCTCTGAGACTTATATGGGAAGGTCAGTTAAGAGGAAATCTCCTGCCAACTCATTGTAATAACTTCATTGTATCTGTTTTATTGGTGAAAAGAGTCTCCTATTTGAAAAGAAATCAATAATTTTCTCATGAAAATATTTGAAAACTACAGCCACATTTATATTTAATGCAGCTCAAAGAGGATTTCATGCTTTCCTCCCAGTGACAGGTTCTGTTCTGCTGGATTTGTACCAGAGATAATAATAGGCTTAAGTTGTATTGTATTTTAAAAATTCATCAAAGCATGTTCATGTCTGTTCTCTCATTTGACTCTTTCCTCAGCCTTGTAAAACAGATTAAATGTATCCTAATCCCCTTTTGACAAGGGCACAAGTTGAAGGTCTACTATATTAGGTGATTTGTCTGAAGATACATGCTAAGTGAGTAAGAGGTCTAGAAATTATCTACCGAGATTTCTTTTCTCTTCCTCCTCCTTCTCTTCTTCGCTCCTTGGCTACTTTTCCTCCTCATCCCTTCTTCTCCTCTACTTCCTCCTCTCTCTCTTTCTTCCTATTTTCCTTTTTTTTTTTTTCTGAGGCAGGTTCTTGTACCACACAACACGAAGCTCATAGTCAGGACTCCTACCTCAGCATCTGAGTGCTGGAATTAAAGGCATGTGCTACTCCACCTACATTATTATTATCATTATCATTATTATTATTGTTACTATTGCATGATCTTGCTATTCAGCCTAGGCTAGCCTGGGATTAGCTATGTAGCCCAGGCTGGCCATGAACTTGCTATCCTCCTACCTCAGCCTTCCGGTGCTAAGTTACATACCATCATACCTGACTATTTTTAATGTCACTTGTATGTGACTATAGTCTGGTTAATAAGCTCTGTTTCATGATCATCTATTCATTCTTTCATCTAATATTGCTCCCTGTGAATTTTGCTTTTATATATTTTGCTCATGTACAGAATAGGTTGTTATTTCTCTTCAACTTTATTAAGTCTTGTCTATATGGTGTAGTTATTATTGAAGTAGTTATATAAGTTACTCTGTTTCTTTTGTGTCAAAGAAATATCATTCTCTAATCCAAGTTAAAATAAAACCCCAGTTGGGAAAAAAAAAAAGAAACTCTTCATTTCTTACAACAAAATAAAATTCACAGGTAGAGGAAAATACATAAATGGGTAATCAGCAAGAGAGATACTCAATGTAACTTATAAATAATAAAGAAACATGATTTTTATCCCAAAATGTGTAAAATTAGATAAATTCTTCTTAAAGTAGCATTTGGGGAAATGCAAGGGCTTTGGCAATATGATTGACAGTATATCTCAAAAGTAAACATTTTCTTTGACCTAAAAAGTCATCTCAGGTATACCAAAACCTGCACAACATGGATGTTTAAAAGTATACATTGTAGCATTGTTTGTAATAGAAATAAAGGGAGGCCACCTAAATGCCTGTTTCCAGGCAAGTAGTTAAATAAAATATTGTACATGAATAAAGAAATTATGACAACTCTATGCAAAGGGACAAGTAATATTTGCATATGCTTATATGGAAAAATTTGCAAGATACATTATAACTATTAAATGTTAATGAAGGTTAAATAAAATTTATGTATATTATGTCCCTATTTGAGTGTAGAATTTTTATATTATGTTCCTGCTTGAGTATAGAAAGATGTATAAAGCTGGAATGAATATGTATATGCTAAAATGTACATAGAAAATTCTATAAGAATAAAGAAACTCTTAACTAATGCATTTGAGAAGAAACACTGTGAATCTAAGGTATGGAGAAAACTAAACTAACACTATATGTTTCTGTATCATTTAAATATTTTGCTGTAGGCATTTGTTAAATTTTAGAAACCCATAGACAATTAAAGAATTTTAATTCATAAAACAATACTTGGAAAATAGAGTGAACTTTCAATTGCAAACCAGATCTTCTCTAGTTTTCTTTGCATTTTGTATGGTCTTGCTCTTTTGCAACTGCTGTAACAAATTTATTTATATTTTCCTAAAGAAGAAATATATTTCAATGCTGACTTTTATTATTTCTATTTGAATAGTGTAATTCTGAGTTTGGAAAATATCAGTTAGCATTTCTAACTCATTCTTTTCTACTTAATTTTTGACAACTATGTTTCTGATTGAGAGACAGGGTTTAAAAATCATAGAATGTCAGAACTATGAAGGACCTCAACATTTTATAACACAACCTTGTTTTAGGGGTAAAGAAACTGAGATCCAGTTAGAATATTTTTTTTTCTCTCATACTACTACATTCCACTCACTTGGTGAAATTTAGGATTGAGTAAAGGTGAAATTTAATGCTAGGTACTTTGCTATATTAACAGTCAGGAAATATGATTTTTTGAATAAATACAACAGTAGGTAGCTATCTTTCCTGGGACAAGTCTCCTTTCCTCTCAGGACTCCAGTTCTTGTAATTTTGAAACGATTGGTTGAACCCAATCATGGCAATTATTGCATACTTATAGAAAATGATTTAAGAGACTTACCCACTAACTCAAGACCTTATTAACTTTATCACTGTCTACATATTTGTAAGCAAACGCCCTAATTTTCCAAAGTTCCTGGATTTATTAAAATGCTTTCACCTTTACCACCATATTAATCAAATTAATATACTGTTAGACAATTGGTCTAAGCAGATTATTTTAATAGTTTTTACAAATACTTTGTTAGGTGAAGAGTCCCATAGTCACACATTTTAAATATGACTGAAACCTACCAAAAGTTGCCTTCTTTTGATTACTTATAGCACAAATTGTCCAAGTCATAAAATATTCATGTTTTTTATTGTTTAATATGGTTTGTTTCACCGAGTCCAAATTTTATTTTTCTGACTGCATATGTGTGTGTGTGTGTGTGTGTGTGTGTGTGTGTGTGTGTGTGTGTGTATAATTTGCCCCTTATAGTTTTAGCAGTAGAGTTAGAGATATTTCAGATGTAAAGGAAATTTCTAGATTGCAGTTTCAAAGGTTGAATTTTTTTGGTGCTGGGAAGTTGTAATACAGATGGAATGGAACATGAAAGGCAGACACAGCAGTGGCTGCCAGGTTGGGGCATTAGTACCATCTGAATATAATGTCACCATCCTCTGCAGGGAGAGAAGATGAAAGAATTAACAGAAGCAAAAATGATCCATTCCTCAGCAATCTAGGTCCTTCTGTTTATGCACTTCCTTGTGATAAACCTAAGAACATCCAAGTTTATAACTGAGTCAGATTTTACCCATGCTTGTAACTTCCTTAATTGACAAGGACAATCAAGGTCTGAATCTAGTTCATTTTATTTTGGGGCAGAAGCTGTTAAGTATCAAGTCCAAGGCCTGCAAGCTAGTAGGCACTGTACCTCTCATCTGTATCTTCAGCTCATGTTTTCTTATTTTTGAGAAGAAAATTAGACTGTTTCCATAGGCTGGTTTGAGGATCTATGACAGATTCCCTAAACAAACCAACTCTCACTTGTAAGGCGAAGCCACCTTCCTTACATCATATACTTTGTTTTCTTCAAAGGTTTCTAGGAAAACAAAACAAAACAAAAAAAAGTGATTCCCAAAGATAGGGAATAAATAATCAAGTCTAGGTCCTGATAATTGTAATGTTTGGGATATACAAATTTAAATTTATTTTCCTACAGTGTATGAAAAAATGTCAGCAATATATGACACACGTATAATCCCTATGAAGCCCTGAGTAAAATTTGTTTACCATACCCTTCCATGATTTCTTAAATAAAACCTTCTATGATTAAGTATCAACAGTCTCAGTAGTTTAACACATTCAAATTTCACAATAATACATTTAGATTTCATATTGGCTCCTCTATCTAAAGCCTATGATCATTATTTTTCTTTCCCTGCAGGCAGAATTTACAGCCATGCGGGAGCAATACATGCGAGGTGGAGAGGGTTTTATCATCTGCTACTCTGTCACTGACCGCCAGTCATTCCAGGAGGCCGCCAAGTTTAAAGAGCTCATTTTTCAGGTTCGCCACACCTATGAAATTCCCCTGGTGTTGGTGGGTAACAAAATTGACCTGGAACAGTTCCGGCAGGTGAGTGCCAATTTTATCTATTCACTTCTATTTTTTCCCTCTGAGGATGCATAGTAGCAAGTATGGCTGCTTTCCAAGGTTCTCATTGATAATTAAAAGAAAAAATGCAGCACAATTTATGTAAGAAAGCTATGTGCTCCTGTGGTAGATTGTGTTGGTTTACCCCCCACACAACTCACATCACATGCTCTTTAGGATGTCCTTACACTCCACCATGCCATTGATTTGGGGCTGGTTTTAGATTTGCTTTGGGGAATAGAGTATAAAGAGGTGATTCTGTGTAATTTTGAGAAATGATCACTTTTGAGTTCCAGATACCACTTAAAGAAGCTAAAGCTAGTAAATGGACAGATTCACGTGGGCAAAGGAAACCCAGGTTCACAGCCTTCACTGCCAAGATACCACACATGTGGGCAAAGCCATTTTGCATGTTCAGAACCAACCACCATGTGACTGTCACCTTATGAGATACTCAAGCCAATTCACATAGAATAGAAAAAGAAAAGTCTTTAGTTGAGCTGTGTCTGGATTTTTGACCTACAGAATCAATGGAAAATAAAATACAATAGTTTAAGTTACTTATGTTTTGGAATAACTTTTTCAGGCAGAAATTGATAAAATGGGATCTTTTTCTTATTCTAGCATAGGAACAAATTCCCAGGTTGAATCAGTTACTCTTATATACCACTAATTCCAATGGTATTGTTTTACCATTGTGATCTTTAGATAGTCTCATGACTTCTCTAAACAAACAAAATAGATAAGACAGAAACTGCCTAGCTTACAGTGATCACTACTGTACCAGAATTCACATAAGTCATTACAGTTTATTCTCATCTGGTTGGGCATACATCTTGGAGAGCATCTGATGTCCAAACTGAAAATCTTGCTGCTTGAGGTCTCCATGTGACAATGATACTTAAGTAATTCTAGTTCAGGGTCCAAGCACATCATTCTGTAATTCCTTTGTGGCTTATGTTATATAGAGCAACTTGCATGCAAATCAAATTTTTGTAAATCTAATTCTCTAAATTGAGTTGTTTAGTTATAATTTGCGATGCTTCGTCTTTATTTGCATTGACCCTAAATTTGAACTGGCTTTTAATAGTTTATGTTATTGTAGTTAATGATTAATTTTTAACTCACTTAAAGTAGCTTGCTGTTAAGACCTTCAGTAAAGGTACAAATCTTCACTAAAGCAAACAGAGTTTTCTCCTGTTTTTTTATAAATTTTATAAATTTATAAGTATTTTATAAATTTGAATTTTCATATTTAATGCATTTAATGTTTTCTTAAAGTGAAAAGATCTCATACAGAGCCAATGTTTAAAGAATTATACTTAACATGGGAACTTATTCTAGTGATTTTGTGCAATGCATTTTTGTAGTGTCATTTTTGTACATTTTGCTTGAGAGTCTAGGCTTCTTATAGTATCAGCTAACTATTTTTTTTTTAGAAATTGTTCATTTTTCTACTCTGATGCTTTTCTGCTGCCTTGCTTTGTTATTTCCCTTCCTTCAAAGCTATGTTTATTACCATGTGCTTGCATTTCTAAGAGTTAGGAATTCAAGTTTGTTTCAATAGTTAAATATGGATCTATTCTCAGATAGTTTGCAGAAAGGAAGAAGATGCTTCACTTTTCTCAGGGCTTCTAGGAAGAAGAATGAGGAAACACCCTAATAAGTATACCACCATTGATCACAAGACCATCTTTATTGCACTTCTAACAATTCCTGGAGGAGAAAAGCCTCTGATTGGGCACCAGTCAGGAGAACTGTCCAAAATGACTAATGAATGGGAAAGCTTTAGGGAAACTGTTTTGGTTCAGATTCTCTCTCAAACAACTGTTTTTTATGATTCCAAGAGCCACTTTTCCCATACTCTCCAAGTCCTGCTTTACAAGGCTCAGAATCTCACAGGACCCCTGTGGCAGCTGGATAATTAGCTCTTCTTTTCTGATTAGCACTGAAGTGAATCACATGTATCACAAATGTCACTGAAGCAAATACCAAAAAAGATATGAAAAATAATTTTGCAAATTTGACAGACTTTTCTTTTTAGATAAAAGCAAGTAAACATGATAGCCACAGAAAGTTCAAAAACCATGAAAACATAAATTACAATATTTGTATAAATGCTCATGTACCCATGTCTCCAATAATGAAGTGTCAACGTGCAAAATTTGGCTTCTGGCTGTGGTGCTTCTGATGGAAATAATTTTTCCTAAAATTACAGAGTAATTATTCTTTCATAGTGGTTTCAATTCACACTTTATTTTAGTCTTATAATAGCCTTGTGCAGTTGTAATGCAAGCATTTCAAGAATGAAAATATTTGGAAAATGAATTTACTGCTAGAAATTGACTTTACTATACTATTTTAGTTAGTGACAAAATTAAAACTAAAACACAAATCATGTGTACTTTTGTTACATGAAAAGGTTAAGTCTCTCTTTCTTCATCTAAAAAGGAAAAAACCCAACAAATAAAAACAAAGATGCCGACACACAGATTGTTTATAGCACAAAGGAGGTTTCCTAGAGTAATAAGGTTAAACTGTTAAAGGCCCTGGAGGAAATGTGCTGGTAGTGTTGTTTAATGGTTAGGGGCAGAGGTCAGGATTCTTACTAGGCAACTCTTCTTCCTTAGGTTAAAGGGAAAGATTGTTCATGATTAAAGCCGTTTATTTTCATTTTGGTTATGTATATGCTTGTGTCTCTAATGCATTTAGTGAATTTCAAGACATTTCAACCAACAAATTAAAAAACAAACAAAAACACCAAATAAGTAATGAGTTTTAGTTGAAGTTTTATCATCATTTACCTCCTGGAGTTGAAATATGAAAGGGCTCCATGTAAAGGATAATGTTTTATCCAGTCAACTGAAACATTCTGCATTCAGAATTTGTTCAAATTCATAGATCTGGTTTGGTTTAAGGGACAAAATCCTATGTATTCTGACTCAAATCTCACAGTGTTTTCCTATAGGCTTGCCAACCATTCTGTTTATTATGTTTTAATATCAATTTCAGATTTTTGTATTCTCCTCAGAGAATGAAACATAGCAATAACATTTTATTGGCAAGAAGTAGCTGGAAAGAAGAGTATATGAGGAAGATTAGGATTAAGGAAACAAGACTCAAAACTTCTGAAAGGCACTGATTTTAATCACCTGAACAATTTTGTCCAGACTCCATCCAAACTGTTCTAAAGCCTTTCTTAACTCCCAGAAAACATTAGGTCTCTGAGCTTCTATTACCTTTGTCCTTGTTTATCATATCTTCTGTCATCACACTGAGGAATAGAAGAGGAGGATTCCTCATTAGGCAAAGCCCTAACCAACTGAACAAAGTAAATTTAGTTGTTTATAAAAGGAATGAATTTCAGGGATTTGCAGCTAGTATAGAAAAGTTTAATCTCAGTCACAAGCCATCAATTCTTATTCTGAAGGCAGACCATGATGAGCCCCTCAGTCTTAAAAGTTTAGTTGTAGATAAATATTCAGCTTGAGACTTTGAAACTCTACTTTCCATAATCTGGTAAAAAAGTACTGAGTTGGGATCCTGAGGTATTTGTGTTGGTAGGCAATAGCAATGATTGTCGGAGAAAATAATTTCTATGTAGAGTTATACCAAGCATCTACTTCTCTATGTAGAGCAGTGACAGCTTTGTAATACAGTATAGGAGTAAGAAACACAGTTCTTGTGCTCAAGGACTTTATCCTCAGGAACTACGCATATGAAATAAGCAGTAAAACATTTTGAACAACAAAATTAAGTGCTGATCAACAGGGCACCAACAGTAGGTACAGTAGTCATGACAGTACTGAAAGACCCAGATTTTAGGAAAATACCAAATGGACAAGTATCCTGACCAGGTGGAAATTATATGAGGAATGGCAGGAATTATTTCAGAAAGATAAGAAAAATTATGGGAAGAAGGAAGAAATCCTGGGACTTATAATAGTACACAAGCAGTAGTGAGTGTTTGGTGGGGATTTAGGATGATCAACATGACTCTTAACACATATCAAGTGTTCTCAGAATAATTCTATAGAAAATACCTGCTTTGAAGACACAGTTCATTAAAGATAAAACATAAATATGTGCCAGAGTATATGTGATATACTGAAATGCAACAATTAACTATAAATATCACTTAAACTTAAAAAATAAAATAGTTCTTAATTCATACCATTAATGCATTAGATAATTCATATGAACACATTATCCAAATAATGACAGGTTATTTTTTATAGGAAATGAAAGATTTGACAATTTATTCATTATCAGGATAGACACTCAAATTCAACTGCAACTATTTTGCACTAGTTATCTTCCCCAGAGCATTTTTAATGTTATTTCATTTAATTAAGTATGTATGAGTATGTTAACTCCATTTGAGAAGGAAATGTGTGTGTGTGTGTGTGTGGAGAGAGAGAGAGAGAGAATTTCTATTTGATTTATTTACCAAATACTTAACAATCATGCAATCACCCATGGGTAGCAGGTACTTTTTAAGAATGTGTGTGTACAGGAGAGAGCATGCCATTAAATCTGTCCCTGAGAATCTGAAAGTAAAATGGAAAAGACAGATTATGAGCATGTGTTTGAGTATGTATATATGTATACCAGCTGCACAGCACAAAATGGTGCTGTAAATACAATTTTACACACACACACACACACACACTTCTAGTAATCAAAAGAGGAAAGAAGACCAAAGCTGAGGAAGGGAATGGAGGTTGGAGGGTAAGTGAGAAAGCTATCTTTGATAAGATAGACAAGAAGATCTTGCTAAGAAAGTGTAGTTAATTAGAAATCTGGAGTGTAGGGTGGATTTGGGGAAAGAACATTGCAGCTAGATCCAACAGGACTTATAAAATCTTTATGGTGTGATTTCTCTTAGCATGTTTGGAAGCCAGTATGCTAGGGATGATGTAGAGGACCTTGAAAGTTCTGTGGTAAGAAGTTTATGCTTTATTTTGAGTGATAAGAGAAAC